ATTCCAAAACATATATAATTGCTGCACAAATCAACTAGGTAAAAAATTCAATTTATATTTTACTACGCTGTATATATGATATTAATTTTTTTTCAAATCAATTTTGCATATAAGTCGGTGCCCAAACAAAGAAGACCTGGTGTATCACAATCAAGATTTCAGATATCTTAATAGAAATTGCATCATATTTATCACCAGAAGATCTTTTTTCTTTAATGCATGTAGACAAATATTTGTACATCATGCTTAAATCGGACAGCCCCATTGCACAAAGAATCTGGCGAGTTTCACGTCAACTTTATTCAGAATCAATCTTTAAATGTCCTATGCATCCATCAGAACATAATCAAATTTAAAATTTCAATTGCCCTGTCGATCTAATGGAGCGATATTTTTGCTTTATAAAATTTATCAGTAAAAGATGTCAATTTTGCAAGGATTTAGTAAAAGATCCGGTAATAATTCTGGAACTGAAAATCAAGATCTGTAGACAATGTATCACTCAAGCCTTAATAAGGTAAATATTAAAAAAACAATTATTGATTGCTATTTCATGTGACTAATTTTAATTATTAATTTAGCCGATTAGATCTTGAAAAAACCAATTATCCATCCGAATTATTCCCAACCATTCATTTAGTAGACTTTGAGCAATTACAAGGTGGTTATACGAATTCTAAATTACGAAGCCACCCTTCGTTATCCCACATGGTTTTTTTCTTTAAACTAGATGCTGAAAATATTTACAATGAATATACCAAAAATATCCCTGATGATCTAAAAGAAGAGTGGTTAAAATATAAATCAAGAGTCGTTCAAGAATATCAAGATGACATCTTAAAAATCAAACACCCTTCAATTGTTGGTCAGACTTTTGACGAAATTTTTGATTTTCCTATATTCATTCCTAGTAAACACTATTCTTTAATGAACGTATTAGGTCTTGTTAAGTCATTCTAAAATGCTCATTCATTTATTACTGAAAATCTGCAGAAATGGGATCAATGGAATATATAATGTTAGGGGTTGTTATTAATATGGAATTATAATTGAAATAGATAAATGTAATGCATTTTTTTATTATCGAAATCAGCTAATATTATTGATTGTAGTAAAAATCGGGATAATAAAATTAATGATGAGCATAGATTTGAGGAATGCTTCATAATTAAATAGCATTATGTAACGATATTAAACAGTTTTCTAATACTTTAATAATGGGTATATTGATTCATCAGTGAAAGAATGGTACCGATCATAGGACATGCTTCATGATCTGCATTTAATTTAGAAAATTAAGATTTTAGTTTTTTTTCTTGCCTTTTATTATTTTTACAAAACACTAAAAATAAGTAAAGAAAAGGTAAAGATCGTTCAACTATGAATAACATTGCTTATCCAGCAGGTACTATGTTTACACTGACAGAAAAAATTCCATATTATTGCTGCAATTTATTATTAAATTCATGTAATACACGAAAATTATGAAATTTTGAATTTTTTTAAAATTCGCAAAGTTCATTTAAAATTTCATGCTTCGGAAATTACATAAAAAAAAAGCTACATATTTTTAATTTAATTAAAATGATAGTGGAAGTGATAGTGTATTTCCTGCTTCTTATCA